GTCACCATCATTTTTTAATGCGGGTTTTGAGCTTTCTTTGGAGTCTAATTAAGGCCCTAATCAGTTTAAATGATGAAAAACTTTCCCAACACCAGCATATCAAAAATACAGAAGCGGCAGTTCTGCTCCTGTCAAAGCGAGCCTGACTCGCCTTTGCTTGTGTGAGGGCACCATGCCGAGTAAAAAGGAAAAATCACATTCTTCATCAGCACTTCACAGTGAAATTTAAGTTGTCAGTTCCTCCCGGGAAATCCTGATGCAACACCCATACCGTCCCTGTGAACCGGAGCTTGGTGAATGTTTAATTACGCCTAGGAACAAACACACATTGCTGCGTGGGGGCTGCGAGGAGCCATCCGAGCCGCACACTAAGCTGCTCTGTCCCAGAAGCGGTTTCTTCAATAGCATTTGCTTATCAAAAATAATTAGAGGTAGGAATGCTGGAACTGTGATTATGAAACAAATGGTAAATCTATTTGCTCAGATGAAATGTATCGAAAGATACATCTAGACACAGCTGGAGACTGAGGTGATATCGCAAGGATAACAACTCGAGATCCAATTTCATCTTTCATGATTAAAAAATGAGCAAGAAAGTGTTTTATGAAATGTGAAGGTTAACAAATGTTCCTTCACAAGCAATGACGACAGTTTATCTTTTGAAACAAATGATCGGGCTATGGTCTGCTAGCAGCTCCTGAAATACACGTGAAAAATTTCTTCCAAAAACCCACTGAGGACCAGCGCACACAGCTGGCAGCCCACCGCCCCACCAACACCTTGGACAAAGCCGGCTCCGAAGCAACGCTGACGCAGTCCCAGCGCTCTGCCCCACGCTGATGGCAAAGCTCCAGAAGCTGAGCTGCTTTTCACCAAAACCTTGGCTCGACAACGTCCGCTGCCCAGAATATTCCAGGAACCCCGTATGTTGCTGCCTCCACGGTGACGAGGCAAGCGGGAGCCTGGTGCTCGGGGTAACGGTTGGGTCTTTGCAGCCCCGGGCGGGAGCAAGCCTGCTCCGTGCTCGTAGATGGAGCCTGCGCAAGGGGACGGGAAATCACATCTCACCAGGTAACGATATTCCCAAACTACACGCTCGGCTCACAAGCAAATTCGAAGAAACATTGGTCTATAAAGAGATTATGAAACACCTTTTTTTTTTTTTTCCTCCTGGTCCTTACACAGCAATATTCCTTTTGGACCTCAAATATAAAAGATACATATATGTACATTTGTGGGAACGAAATAAGTCTAGCTTTTAATTTTTCACATGATGGTTGACCTCCCAAATATCAGTGCAATATTCACCCAGTTCTTACACAAAGGCATATAGAAGAAGTGGTCAACAATAAATTCCTTTAACTGTCCTCCAGATAAAATACTCCCTTTGTGATGCAAGTACAGTATGAAGTATGAAAACTTATTTTTAGGAATGAATTCTGCTAAAATTTGACTAGTAGAACAAATACCATGAGTTGTTGAACGAGGAAAAAAACATGTGGATAGAGGGTCTAAAATTATTAAAGGGAAGGAAAGAATTATATAATGATGGAAATGGGTAATTCTCCAATATGAAAAAAATCAAATTACCAGCAGTGAACAGACAGTAGAGAAGATGGTGATGGCAACTTTAGTTCCTTCTATTAATAGAACTAATAGTTAAAATTGAGAGAGAAAGAAATACTATGTGTAGAAGGCAACAGAAGATGTTTTAAAGTAAAAAAAAAATGCTTTATACTTCCATAAAATACAGGACTGCATAACAATGCCCTTATTCCTACCGGAGGACCCTGAAAGGGTTCCTTGCCATCAGAACAGAACCCAGGAGTGTGGCAGACACCCCCCCCCCCCCCCCCGAAAATGGTATACAACTCAATTTACTTATTAGCGAGAACACAAAACATCATAGCCGTAAAGATGGCTAAACAGCTGAACGCTAGTTAACAATTGTGTTACAGAATTAATGTTAATCCTTCCTACCTCACTCTTGGTCAAATTTCCTGGGATACAACAATGATATTGTTCTTCCCAAGAAAAAAGCAAGTAAGAAATATTGCTAGTGGCCAAAGCTGCTATAACGGACTAAATTCAGATAGGGGAAAAATATTTAAAGTAGAAAGCAGTAAATGCTGCCCAGAAATTAACTAGTAGCATAAGGTATGCATATATACATAGCCACCATGCGAGGAGGTTTAGACTAGCCAGAGACCTAGAGCAGATTGTGCAGCCAGCTGAAGTGTTTGGTACCCTACTCAACACGGGCCGATGCCCCCCATTTTTACTCACAATACCTACAATTTCTTTAGCACAGACAACGTCTGCCCAGTTTTACTGTGCCACGAAAGCCTTCTCTCCACAGTTTAACGATGCTGCACAAATAGCAACAGGCTGCTCCCTTGGCTGCACCGGGGACTATTCTAACCCAACAATTGGAGGCAGAGGAGCTACGAGACCCCTTTCAGGCACAGAAGAGGTTTGCTTCAGAGACTACACTTAACTGCTGCTGTGACAGAAGCTGTGTGGACACGGATAAACACTAGCCCCAACTGTTGCCTTCCATGTTTTGTGTCATGAATTACCCTCTCTTCTCAAAGACGGGACGTGGGCCATTTCCTGAGGTCTGCAACTCCCGGCTTCTTTCCCATCTCTAGCACAGGCCCCTGGCGTGCCCCAGAAAGTTGTGCCACCTGAGGGCCAGTGAGAAGATCACAGATTAACCTTTTCCACCTCAAAGCAGCATTCTCAGGATAAACCAAGGAAAGAAATGTTCTACAACTGCAGTGATAAAAAGGTTCTTCTAAGTTTAACAGCATTGATACTGCTCTCCTTCAGCACTTTAATGTGTCTGATTTGATGTTGCACATTATTTTTGTTATGAAACTAGAACAAAGCAAAATCAATATGGTGCTCATTAAATGGACAAGACATGGGGTAGCTCATAGGTCTCAAAAGGCAAACGTAAATGGGAATCACCACCCAGCTGAGTATTTCTAGTAGGGTTCTGTAACATGTAGAATAACGCTGAATATCTATCTTTCAGGTCAGATTAAAAACTCCAAAAACCAAACACACACACCACTGTTTATCAAGTGCACAAATGACAAAGTCTAGAGAAGTGATAAATAATGAAGAGGATGACTGATGAAGAGATCTGGATCGCTTGGCAAGCTGGTGCAAACAAGATAAAGATGAAGTATAAATAAGATAGAGTATAAAGAAACACTCCAGGAACTAATGCAGCCTATGCTTTCTGGAAGGAAGACTATTCCTGGAAGAAGCTCTCCTGAAATGTTTGGGGGATCCTTGTGATTAGTACCTAGCACAACCCAATTGTGATACTATGATGAAAAGAAATGATGCAATCCCTGACAAGGGAAGATCAAGAGCTGTTCTGCTCTTCATTGACACATTGGAATTATGTTCACAACACAGGAAGAGTACAGCTGAACTGAAGGAAGGTCAGTGAAGAACGCTAATTTGGGGTTAGAAACGTGTGTATTAAAGAACCTTCTGGAGCTCGGTTTTGTCAGCATAGCACAGACAGAGTTAAAGATACTTCCAGAGGAAGTGACTTGTGGCATTAGTAAATACTCAGACTTAAGACAAGGTACAAAAATTATTTAATGATAGTGAAGATAGTTAACTCTTTCCTCACTGCTCCCTTTCTACCTTTCCAAAGGCTGTTTATCCTGTCTTCCGCCTTCAGATGTGTACCACCCAAGCTCCTCCTCACATTTTGGGGACGTATCCTACCTAACGCAGTGTGGACCTGTGACTGCTGCCTGTGTGGCAGAATTTCAGCTGAGACATTTCATGTGTGCCCTGGAGAGTTTCAGCTCAAACAGAAGCCAAAATCCCCGCGTGGACAGGATGCATTTGTACACTGCCTGGCTGAAAGGCAAGGTGGCAGCTCCCATATGGCAGCTAATAGACTTATTTCTTCTGGTTGCCTCAGTTCTTAATCTCTCATCTTTAGAAGGAGAAACTTGTTTGTTCAAGTTTACTAAGAAAATATTTACAAAAGATTGTCAGGAATATGTTTTACATTGAAACACATGAAGCATCTGATCATTGAGACTAATCTAGCCAGCCTCTGGATGCCACAAGGTTAGACGGCATTTTACCTCCCTATCTTAAAACAGTGTGTTGTTTTGGTTTTGCTTCAGATTTGTTTGCTGGTTGAGGTTGCATAGGAAATGCTATCAGTGCTTTAGGAAAAAAACAAACAACAGAACCAAAACCACACACATTAGCTGGAGATCAAGTACATTCTTCCAAAGGAAAAATGACAAAAAAATTGGAGTGTTTTGCAGTGTTACCCTCATAAGAATGTTGGCATTAGACCTGTTGTCTTATTAAAATTCATTTGTGCTTATATAAATTATTTTGTACAAAACCTCCCTGCACACCAGGCAAAAAATCCCATGTGTTGTTTTGTATTGCAGACACACACTGACAGGGTAGTGCTAACTCGGAGTTAGTGATGGTCTCTGTAGACTTCCATATGAAGAAAAATTTTTTGAAGTTGATCTGTAATTTTGGACAGTTTTGCTCTGTTTACTTAGGGAAGAGACACCCTCTCGGGAGGAACCTTACTCAATATAAGCACTAGAAGTCTATCTAAAAACTATCACTGAAAAAGAAATGTAAAGGTTTGGTCAGATCTCAGGCAATATGCAGGAGTATAACATCAAAAGGTACGCAAGAAAAATGTCTTTTCCTAATTTTCTCAGCAAGCACTGTTTGTTCTTGTTGGTTCATAATAATAAAGTCATGCCCTCCTCCTTCTACCTTGACCTAAAAACAGGATTCCACCTCCCTGACTACAAAATAGTGCAAATAAAAAGCCATGCTTAGACAGAGGAAGAAACTCCAGCCTCTTCAGGGCAGGGCTGACCATGCACAAGTACATGTTTTTATAGGAGAGGTTTAGAAAGACAAACAGCTGGCAGCACACTGAGAGGCTTTGGGAAGAGCCCACAGTACGTTCCTCTATTTACCTCAGGTAATCTCTGCGGCAAAGAATGAGATTTGCTTTTGTGTAAAGAGTTGATCCAACCTCTCCAAGACGACAGTCACAGCAGGCACACTTTAGACAGTCTTCATGCCAATACTTATCCAGAGCCTTCAGCAGGTACCGGTCCTTGATCTTCCGGTTGCAGCCAGCACAGCCCTTCTGCTTCCCTTTGGGTTGCACAGATAACATTGGCACACCTGCAACACAAACAAAGCATTTCATTTAGAAGATATTCAAACAGCTTGAATTCAGGGTAGCAATGTGAGCTATAGGCAGACCTGTGAGCAAATACTGCTGCTGGTTTCATTACAAGGAGTTCACATTGCAAGAAGCTGATGGTCAAAGGAACTTAAGCTTCATTTGCTGTCACAGGGTAAGCGGGAGTGTGACGCTTGCAGGAACGCAGCCCTTTTTTCCTAAGGGTAGGGCTGACACAAAGCACCAGGCTTTTTTTTTTTTTTTTAATTAACATCTTGCAGCAGAATAAACTGGCTGCAACATCAACATTTGCTTTTTTCCTTGTTACCAGTACTCTTGTGGTGTTAATTACCTGCCACAGGCAATTATGAAGATCAGAAGGGCCACCACCATGTGTACCTCCAGTCCAACATCTTGGCTGGATCAAGCTTAATGGGGAAAGGAGAGCAGTGGGTATAAAAATATGTTGTACGCCACTGTTTTTCCTTTTTTGTGAATCCCCCTGGTCACAGAGGCCTCAGCGAAGGCTAGAGCAGCTCAGGGGCTGCTCTAAAATAAATGTTACTCAAAAGCCCTTGAGGACTGCTGAGAATAACCCAACCAGTGCCCCTCTACCACTAGTGAGGTCATGCTCCTTAAGCAAATCAGAGCTTCCCCTCTCCTCTTGTACCACTGGAGAAGGTAATAAAAAACCAGGAGTTTTTTCCCTCCCTGGAAACCCTTGCTGGGACTGCAAAGCAGGCACGAGCTAGTTGGGTATGAGGTGGTGACAGGACACTCAAGGCACTAGACTGATGGAGACTAGCTGGGGCACCTTCCTCACACTGCTGTCTCCAGCTTTTTCCTCTCCTCCGAGCAGCTAGTGCCTCCCAGGGTGAGCACTGACACAGGTGAGAGACCTGTTGCCCTTCTCGGTTTAAGGGGGAGGCAGGGCAGGATTTTATGGAATCAATAGGCACGATGGAAAAATAAACAAGGGGACAGGAGATGATGAAAGCAGAAAAAAACCGCCTCACTGAGACACCAGAATCCATTTTCTGTAGAGCCTTGATTTTACTTTGTTACTGATTTTTGTTGTCACTAGTGTCAATCACTAGAAATGACAACGCTGGGCCTGTAATGAGCATGCCACGGGCTTAACCAATGCAGAGGCAATGAGAGGGGACACTCTGGCTGCAGTAGCAGGTGTCACTGGTTATATACTCTTCCACAAAGTTAAGCACCATTTCTGTAGGAAACGCCGGGTGTCCCAGAAAGTAGCCGCCTGATAATGGAATTATTAACAGTCCCTTAACCGGAGAGGACCGAGTCAGTGGCACTGTAATAAGTGACATTTGCTGCTTTCCTTAAAAGCCAGGGTGACCTGACAGTGGCTAATGCTCAGCACAAGTAAAACCCACCACTCCTACAGTAATAATTGCTTTGTCAGAGCTGCAAGCAGACGACAATAGCACTTAAGACACCTCTACACAAACAGCGAGGTATTGATCCATTTGTTATCAAAGTGGTCTCAGCAGCGCGGAGACAGGTCAAGTAACATTCAAAAACTCTTAAGGCTTAAAGAGCCCTCCTGCTCTTTGCTGCGGCACACTCGAAACCCGCTTGCAAAGTCAATACAAGCAAACTTTTGACGCCAGTGACAAATATGCAATAACAAAGTGAAAACTTAAATCTGTGTTTGACTGCCACATACGCAACCCGTAACGCTCCTGAGAGAAATTCTACGTACGCAGCCACAGAGAAACACCCACACATTTGGCAGGGAAGTGTCAGAAGTGTAATATACTGCGGGTGCTGGAGGTCAGGCTGCAGAAGTCCTGTGCTCCTGGTGAGAGTTTCTTATGAGAATGAGGGAAGTGGCCCCGTGGTTCTGGACACAGCACTTCCCCCCCCACCGAATACATTTCAGGAGCAAAGAGAAGCTTTACTTTTCGAGTAATTTCTTTTTTAGAAAGCTTAAAGCCTCATGTTCTCTCCAACTCCATGCAAGGAAAACAGCACATCGTGAGAAGAGGCTGCCTTATTCTGAGGCAAAGAAGGGCGCATACATGAATTTCCATTTGCAAACTGTGTAAGATCAGTACCAGTGATGAAAGAAAATAGTTCGCACCTATGAAAACTAAGACCTAGATGTGTGAATTGTATTTTAAGATAGGAGCCCTAGACACCAGCGAGTCACTACCCACCCCCCCAAACAGGCTCTGTAAATGTGAGCTGCATACCCTTCGAGGCAGAAGAGGATTTCTTACACAGGGGTGTCATCATACAATTCTCTTGCAAGGTTCATCTCAGTAACTTGAGGACCTGGCATCTGGAGGTGCTGCAGATTTCAAAATGCAGAGTCCAGATAACCGCAGCCCCTTAAACTCCCTCGCAAGAGAACTGCTGCATAGGATGGGTTTGAGATCATCTTGATTCAGAAACACAAGATCTTCAGCCAAACGGGACTTCCCAGGCCCCTCAAGTGCTTTTGAAACCCGTGCCCTTTCGGAGACACAGCTGCCCTCACCCACAGCAAGGGGTCCACTCAGCAGCATGGTCAAGCGCAAGGGCAGCTGCACGGGGACCAAACCCTGGCTGGACCATTAGGAGAGGTCGGTTTGAGCGGTAAGGGTGGGTTGGCAGGTTAGGAGGGGCTCCTGAGGTGGCAAGCAGACCCAAACGGCTGAATGCTGGCTGTGGCGGCACTTCTTGTTCCATCTGTGGCCCTGGCAGCCCTCACTCACCACGGCCATCTCAGTTCCCCACTACTGCAAGCACACCATTGTCTTAGGAGAGGCTTCTGTGAATAAGGGGAATATAACACTTTGATTTTTCTTCTAATAACTAGCAAAAGAACAGATATATATATTTTTTTAAACAGTACCTTAAGCAAGGAAAAAAAGCTATGTATTTTTAGCAGGGGGCTTTCTAATGAAAAAAGGTACCATTTTCAGAGATCATATGATGTTCAAAGCTGCTATTCCCACTCAGATAATAACGAGCAAGGTCAGCCTCTGCTGGTCAGGTTCAGTGTTTTGAAATTACATTTTGGTCTGCGAGGCTTCCCTCCGACATCCCAACCAACCGGTCTGCACGGAGCACACACACCACTACAGAAAGTTGCAGCTGCAATTAGCTGGTGAGTTGACACAGCAGGCAAGGCGTGAAACAAAATTTCAAAAACTGCCAAACTTGATCAGCAAGGGTTCCTCGCATGCTTGCCATGTCATTTCCAAGCAACGAGAGAGCAGCATCTCAGAAGCTTAACCCCTTTCGTGGTCGGAGGCTTGCAGAGAGAGGACACAGCCAACACCAAACCCCACTTTCCTCCTGCCTCCCTTCCAGCGAACCCCAAAGCTGGGCCTTTACAGGTAGAAACCATCTGCAGAACTGCTCGCTCTTTCTGGAAATTTTCCCATTGCAGAACTGCAATGTTGCTTCAGTTTTCTATGTAGATTTTCCCCCAGTACTTACCAAAAAATGCCAAGACACCTAGTTCAATTTGATCAGGGGCACATGGTGTCTGTCAAGAAACAAAGGGCTCACCTTCGACAAATTCCATGCGTGCTCTGTGGGCGAGAAGTAGCGCAGCAGAAGTAGAAAAATTAACAGCTGGACACTCATCCGTCTAAATATGTGACCACAAAGGGAATGCTGATTGATTACCAAATTCTGAAAGTACTGTCAAGTTGTGCTCTCTCCTCTCCTGTTGCTAGCCATCCATTGCTATCTTTTCTTAGAAACTGTAGATAAGCCTTTCTATTTTTGGCTACCTACACTCTCTTCTTTGTCCTTTACAACTTAATAGACTTGCTGCTGGTAAATACAAAACAAAACCTGTTCTGAGTGCTCGGAGCTCCAATGCACATTAAAAAATTATAGACACCACCTCTGGACATACTGAAATTTATGGCTGTGTCTAAAGAGGCTGTTATTGTAGTGAGTAATCTAAACTTTACCTCTATTCACAGTCGGACAAACTAGCTTTAATCAGCCTGTATCTTCTCAGTCGGGGTCTTTCTGTAAAATTATTCAGCTGGCTTTATAACACAAGTGTCCACTAAGTACACTTCTAAATTTTTCTAAGCCATTTTACTGATATTTCTATTCACATGGCAATCAGCTGCAGTCCCTCTAAGGGCACTGTTCATAAAGACTCATTTCCAAGAGAGCCTGGGAACTTTTTATAAATGGTAGACCTTTTAAATAACAGTTATCTGCAATGGTCCTATGGCGTACAGCTCCACAGTGCTCTGGTCTGCAAGAGAGCTACCGGTCCCCTCTGAAAGCATGGAAGTTCACCACCTAATTTCTCTAATGCAACTCTAAAGGTTAATTGGTCTGAAAGAGTAATGCGGGACTGCTGGCTAATGATATATGCCTCAAGGCTTTGCAGCTTGCCTGTATTTTATACAGTCGAGTCCAGAGCATAAAACACAAGTGATATCACCAGGACTTTTCAGACCCCCCCTCCGACTTCCCGCAGCCCCCCTCGGCCTCCCGGCTCTCCCACGCGAGCCCTCCGCTGCACCCACATGTGCCGAGTGAAAGCGGCAGGGGCTGAAGGCAGTTCTCCTCCACCTGCATTTCACGCCTTGTTAGAGGGGGCTCCGAGAAGTGCCGCTGCTGCACTCCTCATTACCACTGCAGAGAACTAAAAACAACCCTAATGAGGAGAGGGAGAGCGTACAGTACAGGGTGGGAGGAGGGACGTCCTCCCACACTCCCCAAGGAATCTGGCCAAAATCTTCAATTTGCCATTTATGACAGCTAATTAGTTATTCTATTCAAAATCTTTGCTTTAAATAAAAGAACTAATTATACACAAAGGTCAGTCCCCCACCTTCTGTGAAGCACACATAATTGGCTTATTTCCCCAACATTGTGTGTATGTTTTACACAATGCTTTCAGGCAGATGGCGTTAA